AGTTCATCCTTTTGTAATAATTCTTCCTGGAATTCACAAATAAGGAGAAAGAATTTGCAGCTAGGTAAACTCCATCTTTCCAGATTATAGAAGGTATTTCAGGTAGTCTAATATCCTTCCAGCATGACATCCCCTTATAAGAAAGAATGAGGGAGGATACCCAGGAAAAGTAAAGTCTAAAAAAAACAAAGGCTTCTCATAGAAGCCCAAGAAGACTCCTGCAACGTCCTTCTCATGGTAACCTAGCCCTTGAGAATTTATAAAACCTAGCTTTCAGCTGGGCGCCTGTAGCTCAGCAGCTAGGGCACCAGCCACATATACCAGAGCTGGTGGGTTCAAACCCAGCCTGGGCCTGCCAAACGATAATGACAACTACAGCCAAAAAACAAAAAAAATAGCTGGGCATTGTGCCAGGCACGTGTAGTACCAGCTACTTGGGAGGCTGAGGCAAGAGAATTGCTTAAGCCCAAGATTTTGAGGTTGCTGTGAGCTGGGATGACACAGCACTCTACCCAGAGCAACAAAGTGAGACTCTGTCTAAAATAAATAAATAAATAAATATATATATATATATATAAAATAATCACAGTTCTTATGAGTTTCAGACTCTAAAACTGAGAACTAGACTTCCCTTAAACCACTCTGTTCCTGTGTATTCAAAGCCCTACCTCCTGGAAAACAGCTTTAAGCTCCTGGGTAGGGAGGGGGGGAGTTAAATAAGATTCTAGATGTGTCTCTTCTGTATCTTGATGGCAGTGTTGAACCATATACCCTCCCCCCTAGAAAGGTAAAAGCAATTCATTTTTAACTACGAAAATAAATATTTTTGACTAAAAAAAGTTCTAGCTTAAAAAAAAAAAAAGACAAGCATTACCTTTCCTGACCCAGTCTGACAGCCTGGACAGTGATCACTTAAGCAGGTGAGCTCATCATCCCAACACTCAGACCAAAATACATACCTGTCCTTCCTCTGCTAAGAGTCGGTGGAAGACTAAGTATGATAATACAGAAAAGGAGAATGGCAAGTGACAACTGCAAATGTCAGCAGCAGCAGCAGCTCAAGTTTCACCTCCACAGGAACAGACTCTGGGGGACAGAGTGAAACAGCTCTCCCAGGAATTCCCTTCTCAGAATTCTGTGTGGTCTCTGCAAGATACACAGGCCTGAGCTTAATTACCACGCAGCCTTTCCTTAGCTCACCAAGATATAAAGACCTTCCTGGAGCCACAGAACCTGCCACAGAGCTAAAGATAGGAGCCAATGCTCACACCTCCACCTGGCTGAGAAAGATTTCTCTCTTACTTGTCAAAATGACTTTAAACCACACAAATCAACAACAAACTCAAAAGATAAAATACAACGATGTTAATCTCTGATGCCATATGTTCCTCTGCAGCTTCTCAAGGTCATGCCTCCCCACTGAATGACTGATTAGAGAGAGGGTTTCTAATATGGTACATGGGCAAAAAAGCAAAACAAACAAACAAACAAACAAAAAAACCCAGAACAAACCTCTTCTATGAAGTCCAATCCCTTACAGAGTGAACAGCTCAGATCCCAGCTAGTCACGACAAAGGTCTGACAGAGCCAAGCAGAGTCCTTGAACATCTGTGAATCTGTCAGTTCCTTTGCCTCCTCCGAATCACAAGACTGCCTAGAATAAGAAACCAAAAGGACAGACTCAAAAAGCAGCCTGGCATGTGCTGTTTGCAAAGAGTGAGCTCCCCTGCTGTGCTGGAATAGGTGAGGCTGACAGGCTGAGGGATTATCTGAGGGGCATAAACTGCTAGCCTGGTTAAGAGAATTGAGGGCACTTCACTCCCAGTAATCATTTTGGCTTCTGTGGGACTGACGCTCCATCCATGCAAGGTTTAAGGCCTGTCAACCAGCCCTTAAAGCACAGGGCATTTAAGTCACCCCAAGGGGTCCACACCAGAGGACAGCCAGAACCTGGGGGAGGTTAGAGAGCAGACAGAGGGGTGGGAGAGGCCTCTCTCCACTAGTAATTGCTGATGTAGGAAGCTAAATACGCTGAAAAACAGAAGGGGCTGGGAACACTCCACAGCCTGAAGTAGGGTTGGGATTCCTAGCTTTAACCATAGAAATGCTGCAGGTAGGGCTGGCACAGGGCTAACACTGCTCCTCTTCCCTCCGTCTCACAGCTGGGCCCCACATACACCCCTACTGTGGGCACTCCCTCCACAAGGGGAGAGACATGGCGATTCCAACTACAGCTCAATGCACAGAGAGCTCAGAGACAGTACTTATAATTTCTTTCTGATTAAAAAAAATTAAAACTCTTCTTTAGCCCAAACTAGCACAAGCCATACCTGTTTACATGACACAGTCACATATACACATTTACTAACATGCCCATTTACATAAACACACTCCATGGACATCCATGTACACTGTTTACCTAGCAGTAAGCTTCCTCTGTAAGTCTAGAATCCCATGCTTTCCTTCTTTGGTTCCAGGAGCAGCAACTATCTGGATTATAGATTTTCTATTATAAAGCCCAATTACAGATGGAAATGCCATCATGCTTTCCTCCCCCACACCACCCCGCCCACCCAGTGAGATTTGTTAATAAACTGGGGAAGAAAGATGGAAGAGAGATCAGGCTGCGTTCCTTACCAGCAGGGAAGGCATGGCTGTGGGAGTATCTTAGATAGTGTCCTCTGATAAACGCTGCAGCTGAACCTCTGGGCCCTCAGAATGGCTGGGGTACAGCTGGCAGGTGAGTACACTCATCTCTCCCCACACTGGTAGAGAAGGCAAAGGTTTTCTCTGGTCAACTCCATACTTCGGCATCCATTTTTCAGCTCCCGTAAATAGTGTTCCATTGATTCAGGGAAATCTGAATTCAAGTCTAACAAGCCATCAACCTCATCTTTCCATCCCCTAACCCCAAATTTCCCTCAGGGAGAGATATGCAAAGAGTAAATTCTAAATTAGAACTAGAAATAAAAGGCAACCTCCCACATAGAACAGAAAAAAAAACAAATGACAGGCTCGGCGCTTGTGGCTCAAGTGGCTAAGGCGCCAGCCACATACACCCAAGGTGGTGGGTTCGAATCCCCAGTCCAGGCCTGTCAAACAACCATGACGGCTGCAACCAAAAAATAGCTGGGCATTGTGGCCGGCACCTGTGGTCTCAGCTACTTGGGAGGCGGAGACAAGAGACTCGCTTGAGCCCACGAGTTAGAGGTTGCTGTGAACTGTGATGCCACAGCACTCTACCCAGGGAGATAGCTTGAGGCGCTGTCTCAAAAAAAAAAAAAAAAAAACAAAAAATCAAAAAAAAACTGCAACAATAAAGGTTACCAAAAAATATAAGATTGCTATAAATGGCACATCAGTGTGCTCACCCCTCTCACACCAGCACGTTCATGATTCTTACTGACAACTGGGCTTAACCTGCACAAGTTCCCTACATCACTTCAAAACCTGCCATGTTCTCCCAGGTGGACTTATATCTCATATGTTCCAAGACTGAAATTAGACCACAGATTCTTGCAACATAAAGTCTGCCAAACCAGGGCTCTGGACTTGTATAATTCTTAAGCAGCCAATATGGAGAACAGTGTCCAGAGGAGGAAGAACTTAATGACAGCCTGGAAAATGCATGGTGGTATAAAAGGACTCTACAGAGTGAATAATTTTCAAAATCCCCAAATTCTTCCTTTTTTTTTTTTGGCCAGGGCTGGGTTTGAACCCATCACCTCCAGCAAAATGGGGCCAGCGCCCTACCCCTTTGAGCCACAGGCACCGCCTGAAAATCCTAGCACTGCACAGCTAACTCTAACTTTGCAAGTCCAGCTGTAGCTCTGTACATCTACACAGCAGCCCGCCAGAGGTCTGCAAACTACTCCCTACCAACAGAGTCTGTGCAAACCTGCCAGTCCCCCCAGCCGGCTGCAGCATGATGTCCAGAACCAAATCTGGCACCAGCCAGAGGTCCCTTGGGCCTCCTTGTCTATGTGATGGGTTCCTGAGTGGTAGAACAATAATCAGAGACAGCCACAGGGAAAACCCCAGCAAGCACACAGAGGCCACTCCCTGGCCTTCACAGGCTGCCCGTGAGTACCTCCATTTAGAATGTGGTGTGCAGCAACAGGGGCCCACCACAGAAGGCCATGAAACAAGAACAGCACCAGAGGCAGCTGGAAACGGCTGGTTTTCATCTTTCAAAGGTGGCAGAGCTTCAGCAGAGTATGATCATATAAAAGCCAACTGCCACAAAAAGAGCAGTAAAGAAGAAGTGAGGCCCTGCCGTCTGCACTATGACCACGTTCTTGGCCGTTACCACAGTGGAAGGTATTAACACAGGCCACAGTACCGTGGGGTGGAAGGGCACCCTAACTGCTGAATCCCTCCCTTCACGCCTCTATGTTTGTTTGTTTGTTTTTGAGATAGAGTCTCACTTTCCTCCAACAGAGGAGGAAAGTTTCTCAGACTAACAAGAGAACAGGAAGTTGAGTAACGACGCCATGAGTGGTGGCCTGTCCCTTGGTTAGACTATCTCGTGCCTCACCCACCATCTGGGTAAGACTTGCTCTGGGGCCATCCCTGCAAAGCCCCCCCCCCACACCCCTAGTCAAAACAGACTTTCAGAATCCCCTCAACTAGAACAGCCTAACTTTAAGCCGCCCCTCAAGTCCGATCCCACAGGTATGACTGACTAGCTTGCAGCGCAGAACACTCCCAGCAACTGAAGGCAGGCCCCTCCTCGCCCTTGTCCGGGGCAAAGTGCTGGCCACGGCCTCTTCTTATCCCTTCCACCCACGGATTTGCAGCCTCCGACCACAGACTAATTTCGCACTTTAAATCCCGGTTTGGAAACCTCGTCTATTTCCTGAAAGGCACAGCTGCCACAGCCAAGCCAGCCCCACAAGCACCTGGGACTTATCCGCCCCTGTACTCCTCTCTCCTCCCGACCGCCAAGCATGGTTCCCAGCGCCCAGCCCTCACACCCCACCCCTCCAGCCGCCTCTTACCGCCCGTGTCCTCGAAGCGCGGCGGCGGGCGGTCCCGCAGCGTGGCGCTCCAGCCCGCGCCGGCCTCGTCCTCCTCCGGCTCCTGCGCCTCCGGGGCGCGGAGCAGCGGCGGGACGGCGGGGGCGCCCGGGGGGACAGGGCGCTCCCGCTCGTCGTCCGAGGACGCAGCGGAGGAGGAGCGCGAGGCGGCCGAGGTACTGTAGAACGGGTTTCCGCCGCTGTCCGGGCCCGACTCGCCGAACACGTCGTCCGAGATGTGCAGGCTCTCGTAGCGCGCGCGGGCCGCCTCGAGCAGCGC